CGAGATATTTCACCGGTCCGGGACTTTTTGAACACCCTGTATATGAACAACTATAATATTTTATAAACGTAAATATAAAATACATTGTAACGTTTAATTAAAATAAAATGAAGTAAAAATATGACAAATAAGTGAAAACATAAAATTCATAAAGATGAACGAAGTGAAAAACAATGGCTGCATTCACTAGACTCAACAGTTGTACAACAGTTGAGTAATTTGTCAATGTAATTGGTCTAGATTTAGGGATCTAATAGCAAGAACCAATAATCGTTGATTGCTCACTGAGCGCTTTTTCTACTGAATGCGCCCAATGTTATAGTATATGTGTATATATATATACAAGTGGATAAATTATTATGTACAATTAAACAATTAACTCAATTAAATTGAGTTCCTCGGTGTTCTAACGCGTTTGATAAATATCATTCATAATTGTAGTATCATTCTTCGCATTGCTATTATCGTCAACAGCGAAATGAAGCCTGTGCAAGATGAAAGGAGCATAAATAAGGGAGGAAAAAAGAAATAAATGGAAAATAGACAAGTATATATCAGATAAGTAGCTAATATTCTCATAAAATAAAAAATTTTTTGTGTTGTTTATAATTGTAGATGATGTATTGGACCAATTCTTTCCTTTGATTAATTATTTGTTTCAGCTTCTCAGCTAGCCACATGATTGCAAAATGTTGATAACTGGAGAATAATTCCCTGCAGAATAAGGTTGTAAAATTCTAAGTCTTTATAAGCACAACTAATACTTGTGGTGCCGTTCATACTGGAATCAATTTACCATCATCGTCTATAATGGAATGAAGCTTGTGCAAGATGAAAGAAATATAAAAAAAAAAAGAGAGAAAGAAATAAATGGAGGATAGGCAAATATATATCAGGCAAATATATATCAGGTAAGTAGCTAGTATTCTCATAAAAGAAAACATGTATCTATATGTTATCTGTAATTGTAGATGTGTATGTATGTGTATGTATGTGTTGGTTTAATTCTTTTCTTTGACTAATTTTTTTGTTTCAGCTTCCCTGCTAACCAGGATGCTTACAGAATGTCAATAGCCAGAGAACAATTTCCTGTGAAATAAGATTGCCAAATTGAGAACCTACTTCTGATGTGCGTCCTAGTTGCAAGCAAAAGTTAAAATCCTAATGTCGAATATTAGAGTAAATCTGTCACTAGCAGTGTGATGTCACACTGAAGCAACAAATCAAAAGGGGAGCGGTGCACTTGGACACGGTGCATTTGGACACAGCCAATCACAGCACCGTGTGATTAGAGACATTTGTAGGGTCCCTTGGAATAGCGACTTGTGATTGGACTGTGTCCAATTGCCCCGTGTCCAACTAATATACACCCAATCAAAAGCAGGTTCGTAACATCGATGTTTATCGTCAATTTTTCATCAGCACTTTCGACAGGTCTGTTCGATATTTATTGCCACCTTGTCGTGCAATTTTTTGACTGATGTATGTTTCTTTTAGCAAACAGGATTTGTTGTCTAACTCAGGATTGTCTCTGCATCAATGATTATTGTGATTTGAGATCAGGAAAGTTGTCCCAAAAAATCGAGGACCGATCTTTAAAGAAAATAACAGTAGTAAAATAAAAAATCATATATTGTTTATATTATGGTTTATATTATATCATGGAAAAGACGCAAGGACCATGAAAAAGCAAAAAGTCTGTGAAACAAGGAAAATTAAAAGAAGAATTAAAGGAAGTATATTAAAGTGTTTATTAATTAATCTTTTTTCGCAATTAACTCCGACAACGAATACAATATTAATAAAATGTCTAAATTTTGTGTATTGCATATTTTATTTCAAATTATTTGTATTTCATCTTCTTTTTGCTTTAATAAATTACGCTCCAGTTTCGCCCATAACTTCAGATGCTTCATTACACTTCGAACGTTTTTTTAGTGTTCAATCAGATTAGCTATAAATAATATTGAGTCATACAAAACAGTAAAAATAATAAGAAAAATATTTGCAATGGAGCATTCACAATATATCTAAAAATTCAACAATCCTTGAGTGTTTCTTTAGGCTTTCTCGCAGTTCTCGATTGTGCCTTTCAGAAATATTGTTAATTCTATGTACTTAGAAAACAAAACGAATTTCAGAGCCTTCTTCTATTAGATCTTCCGGCAAAAAAACTAAAAATATTAATAGTTTGGTTGCACCCTAACCGGATTCTTTTTAGTCACCTTTGAATATAATATGCTTTTCAGCATTATGTACTAACGCCTGTAATAGGAGAGCAGCATAAAGAAAATTGACACGTATTTCATGTTTGTTATTATGTGCATTGTTATCTTTTATTACCTGGTTATAATGAAAGAAACAGCCAATAACTTTAGCGCTAGAAAAAACCATCTGTAGTGCCTTTCGCTCGGCATTTTCGAAGTCTGATATTATTATATCAGGTGCTAATTTAATGAGTGAGTCCCAAATATGCACATTTACAAACGGACACATCCAATCATATTATATAATCGTTGTTTATAGAGTCTCTAGAATATCTCTAGGCATACGGCGTTGTGGT